CTTTCTAGTGAAGAAAATAGTACCTCTATTGTCACGTGATCAGAGGATATAATAATTCAGACCTTGCTAATTGTAAAACCTTTTTTAAATTATCCCGAATCTGCATTAATGAGTGTCATACCTAACAGAGTACGAGTACGGCAAGTCACGGGGATTCCATACTCTGTATAGCTTAGTGTATTTCAGTGTAAACAAAGAAATATTACACATGTTGGTTTTTCTTTTTATGAAAAACTTTTTATTATTCATTATATACTTTATCATTAAACCTTTTCAAAAGATTTTTTTTTTTTTTTTTTTTTATATACGAATAATTTGGTAATAACAAAAGAGAATCAATTTTCTTTCATAAACGTTTGTTGTGGAATTCACGTGAAAAAAAGATCGTACATATGCATCGTGCATAATCAATTTTCGACCCCATTTTTAATAATAAACAATAAAGATTCGAGGGTCTGAAACTCAGGGCAACCTAATTCACTCGACCGAATTTGTTTTTCAATGGATATACATTTTTGATCTTTAATAAACAAATGATAGATAGGATCGTGTCTATTTTCATTGAATCTAAGATAATTTTACTTTATCTACACAGTAAATCTTTTGATTGATATTCTTGTGATAAAAACAAGAAATGATTTTTCCCTTTCACCTATCATATACTGTATATAAAGCAAATCCTCATTTCTTGATATTATCCCTGAAATTGAATCAATATGAATAAATAAAGCTAGTCTTTACTATGCATATCGTTTCCCATATAAGTTCAAGTCCCAAAGTCAGGCTAAAACCTGACCCTCCGTTAAATATTTGAGCAAGATATTCTGGCACCATTCGCGTCCCTATCCATCTCCACCTCGCACGAATCACATTTAAACGTTTTTTGATCCACCGAGATTATTTTTTACGAATCCACAATTCCCACATGTCTTTGACGTACTGTATACTCTTCGGTGCATTCAATGACCTTACAACCTCTGAACTCCCTTGACTTATGATGTAAGAACATCCGAAACCTGAAATGCGACCAAGTTAGCATTGCACGAGCAATCTTTGACCGAAGCTTTTGCTTGTTCTTCAAAACCATCCTCGAAGATTCGAACTTGGGTAAAAGAATGATCTCATAACCAACGGACTAGCTAATGATGACACTCATCAATTAATTTATGGATTCGTTGTATGATTCATGGAATCTTTTTTCAATCGGAATCTCACTTTTTTGTTCTTCCCAAAGCAAAATCTTTGTCGCTCTGTAATTTGTCATATTTCTTAGATAATTCAAATATTTCATTAAAATCACCATTGCCCCACTCGATTAATTGACCGTCAGGGTCATAACCAGTCATAATCGTGTAAACACCAGGATCGAGTGAATTACCTTTCCCCGAACATCATCTTGGTTATCGATGATATCCAAAGAAACGGAAACACAAGTAAAAATATTTGATATCTGGAGGTGATAATATTTTTTAGGAGTAAGAATCGAGATGATTGTGCTCGATTCTTCTTTGATCGGTATTTCATTCGAAATCATGTCGAATTGCGTACGAACGTACTTACCTAGGGTCTCTTTTTACCCAGAGGAGTTCTTCAGTTGTGAAGAACTCATCGTTTAGG